TCCTTGTTCTATGAATAAGATTTCCCATAAACATTATATATATATATATATATATATATATATATATATATATATATATAAAATCGGGTTTTAAACGGGGCGGATAGTGCCACACCCATCTCCGACTCGTCCCCGCTTCGGGTATAAAAATCTGCATCTGTCCTTGCTCCGTTACCCGTTAAGACGGGTAATACCCGCCCCGTTAGGGTCGGCTACCCGCGGGTCACGGGTAATACCCGATCCGTTTGCATCCCTAGTGTTTGCCCTTATGCATTCTTTTGAGAACTCATAGAACTCATATGCATAATCACTCAACTGGATTGGCACAGAAATAAAATTATGTCAACACGATAGGTTACAATCCTCAAGTCGTGTGCTAGTGTTTAATAGTTTTACTTCTTGATTTGATCTTGAAACTTTTCAAGATCCTTAGACTCCCACTGACCTCTTGACATATTAGATTCTCTTATCAAGAAACATTTCTTGAAAAAACAAATATCCAAGAGTTAGTGTGTGTCTATGCCAAGACAAAACTACGCGCAATTTGGTACTAGTTGGTCTTTGTCTTATTCAAGACATCACAACTTACCAAAATGTGCAAGTGTAAGAACATTCCTACTTAATATTATCTCACTCAATTCACAATCTTAGAGTATGACTCTAAGACCATGATATTGAAACGAAGTACGATACATCTTATTGACTTAACCATTTCAACAATTCACCATTCCTCTTCTCAGCCAAACAAGTGCACTAAGGTATCCTTAGAGGATGAATTGTAATATGGTTCCTACAATAACCAAGACGATCATAAACACGATACAAAAGTACTCTCCCTTCTTCTTAGATTGGAGAAACTTTTATCTTTCTGCCTAATTGATTCTTCTTATTCGTTCTGCTATTCATTGAAACTTTTCAATGATTCAGAATTACACTTAATCTTGTAAGCATAATCACATTTACTAGACTTTTAGTAAATCATGACGAATAAACTTATCGTTCTTTGTGGTGGACTTGACCAGTGCACAACATTGTGTACCAGATCTCCTAGTCCTTCACTTGACTCACATACTTATGTGAACAAGGAATTAATCTCAATTTCCCAAATACGAAGGTTCTCATTCATCACACAATACCAGTTGCATGATTCCAAGTTTCTGTCCAATTGAAACTTGGGCGATGAGAATCTTTCCTCATTTGGTAAATCTCTGACATAACCACAAATAACATAACTAAGAATCAAATCTATTCACAATATTGCTAACAATAGAACCATTCAAACACCAATTTTTCATAAAATCCATCGCAAGGAAACATAAATAAGATAAATCAAAATTTATTTTATTGCGGAAAAATATTGTCCTTACAATGCGATTACAAATGAAAACTATGTGAATATTACTTAGCAATCTATTCTAACTCTAAAGTAATAGCTTTAATATCTGATCCTTGAATCATGCGATCGAAATCCATTTCTTCGCGATCAGACTCAGCTTGCTCCTTCCTTTAAGCTTCCTTTCCTTTCTTTGATCCTTCAAAATATCGAAATGTAATCTTGTCACATCATGTATTAAGAATCTCCAAATAGGAACTTAATGGAGTTAGATAGTGGATTTTACCTAAAGCAGCGTCATACATCTTGACTCTCCCATCTCTTAGATCTCTCAGGTAGTTAGGGCAACTTCGTAACCAATGCCCTTTCTTTTGGCAGTAGAAACACATGGATTCTTATGGAATGGTACACAGGACTATCTCAGACTCAACCTTTCTCTTGCATAGAGAAAACTTTTCTGGACTTCCAATGTTACCATTGCCCATAGAGGGTTGGGATATTGATTTACCAGACAGATTTGCTGACCAGTGCGCCAAATCATTTCTGATTTAGGAGCAATAAGCAAATAAGTCAAATCAATAAGGGTCATGTCGTGATCCATCATATAGTACTCTCTAACGAACTTACCATATGATTCGGAAAGTGACTGAAGAACCAAGTCAACATCCAACTTCCTTTAAACATTGACACCTAACAATCCCAATCTATCAATATGTAATATTTTATCCAAGACTCACATATAGACTTTCCATTTTCATGTCTTTTGCCAATAGGGCTTGAGTGATCTTGAACTTTTCAAGTCTTCGAACACGTGGGTCAGGGAGAATTATTGGAGGAGGTGGAGGAAGATAAGCATGATTTCTCTTTCCACAATCCAATCGTGGAACGTCATCTTCATGTGGAAAACTTTTTCCAACGGATTTAGGAAGACCATAGTTGTCAGACTTTGACATCTATGAAACAGGAGAAAATTCAAGTTTAGTTGATTGAGTCCTTAATAAAACACCCAAATGAGATATTAAGGCTAGGACCCAACACAATATCCTACAAATTGGAAGAGGGATGCCGTAATCCAACTCGCAGAACATTTGAAGGTAGGTAAATGACGATTTACCAATTTCCACCATGAAAAACGAAAAAGAATTTAAGTTTTAAATGTATTGAAACTCCTAGATCTTTTGAAATTCATTGAACTTTTCAATGTCATGTTTAATCTCGATTATTCCCTTCATTTGTGACTGGGATGCCGAGGATCACAAATAAGGTGTGAATAACCATGTGAATGTACGTGATGCCCTCAATGTTACAGTCACCTAATCGACGTGCCGGTTAACCACACACGCTCCATCGATCTATGACAAACATCGAGTCATCCTTCGCTACCAATGTCAAACCCATCTTAGTGTGCCGGTTAACCACGCACGCTCCACTAATTCTCTCGACAAGGGTACAAAGTGTAATTTCATGGAATTGCATCAATTTCACTTTTTCCTAAAGTAACTAAGATTTGGGAATTTAGTAAAAACATTTAGTTACTTTATTCATTATACTTTTAATGAGGAGAGGGTTTGCCCTATCCTACCTGTTCGGCTAACGACCATCCACTAGTCAAGAGTGCAGTGGGTAAGAGTGGATACCCATTAAATCGCCATTTTATAGGCAATTTCCTTAAACACCAATTATAGACCAGCTTCGTGAATAAGGCCTACTAACGGTAAGACTAGCAGTTTAGGTTATACATATATAATATTAGACTTTTAATGTTATATATAGTATAGGGTGTATTTTACACTTTTAAAATACTAGGTGGTTTAATTTTATAAATTACACTTTTAATTTAATTAAATATAAACCATATCATTATGGATTTATTAACTCTCTTTTAATTACACTATTAATTAACTTAATAAAACCATAAGGGTGTAATTTGAACTTTTTCAAAACTAGGGTTTTAGAATTTAAAATTTCAAAAAATTTAAACTTTTAATCAAAAAATTTTAATTCCAAAACTTGAGGGCAAGTTTTGAAACATTTCAAAATATTAAGGTTTAACTATTTAAATTTCAAAACTGAAACTTTTAAAGTCCAAATTTAAACTACAAAACCTAAGGGGTGTAAATTGAAACTTTTCAAACTTACTAGGAACATTCTAGATCAACAATTCAAATAAGGCAATTAACAATTAAATGTGGTTATCTAATTTTGACCTAGTCCAATTACTTGCAAGATAATTCACCAAATAATTAAAATAATTAAACATTATCTTATAAGGCAACAAATATTTGATTAATTGGCAATTATCTACTATTTTGGCAATGATATTCACCCAAAATCAATAAAAATCGGATTTTACTAATTAAAAACGTTTATGGTAAGTATCCCAAGCCAAAAAGGCAAGAAAATCGCGAAATTAAGCTGACAGACCCTTGGACTCGTCAAGTCCACAATGGAACTCGTCGAGTCCATTCATGGACTCGGCGAGTCTGGCAGTCAGAACCCAGAAAGATCGATTTTTTAAGCAAGAAATGAACAATTAAGCATCAATTCATCATACAAACAGCCTAGGCTCTGATACCACTTATGGGTTTTGAGCACTACATCATTCCTATGGTGTACATGCAAACCCTAAAGCTTTGGATCTAGTTTGTCTAATGAACATGCAATAATCATCCAAAGCCATAAACCCTAGATCTAGCATGTGATAATCAATATAAACATAAGAATCGGGTTTAGATCTTACCATGATTGTTATATAGCAATAACAATCTATTCCTTGTTGTAATTGGCTTCTGAAAAACTTAGAGTCACAAATGTTACTCCTCTAATGGCTCAAACACAAGTCACTGTTAGGCTAGGCTCAAGAGAGAGAAGAAGAAGAAGAAGAAAGGAGAGGCACTCAAAAACATCTAGAAACCCTAAGGAATTAGTTATCCACGTTTTTGGTGCCCTATGGGTGCTTAAATAGTGAGGCTATTAGGGTTATCTAACCAGGAAACCCTAATTTGACTGCTTAGGACCTAAGCAACCCATGGACTCCTCCTTTAGAGGCCTTGGACGATTTCTAATGTGTTTCCCCATAGATTTCGTCCACTCCTCTAATAAAGAGTCCAATAGCCCAATATTCAACTATCACACAAGTGACAGTTCTAGTCCCTTAAGTTTAATTAATCTCTTTTAGCCACAAAATTAATTCTTAATTAATTATTGACCAATATTAATTAAACAATATGATTTCTCCTTTAATATATTATTCATATAATATATTAATAAATCATAATTAATCTCTTTCTCCACAAATCATCCTATCAAGTTGCTTTGGTGAAGGCAACCCAAAAGGACCATGCACCATCGGGTCAAGTACATACCAAAATAGTTATGGACTTAGACACTAATCCAACAAGTTAAACAATGTTGATTTAACTCAATAAGTACTTTATGATAAAAGTGTTTACTAACTTATATGGTGGTAAAAATGAGTTTTTTAAAAAATGTTTGTATTAGCTTATGCGGTGGCAAAAGCTATAAGTTGATAAGTCGTTTTAAAAACATGTTACTTACATTTGTAAAATAACAAAAAATAGCGGAAATTAAGAGAATGGCACGAAAAGAAAGTTTATTAAGGGTATTATAGTCATTTTATCTCAAAAAGTTAAAAGTGTTTAAAAAGTTAGGGAAACACATCCAAGATTTCTTCAGAAACATCCAATAGTTGTTCAACTTCATCATATTCCTCTTCTTCAACATTAGTAGCTTCAGCATCATCCCTAATTAGCATTTGCCTCTCCATCTTCTCTTGTTCATGCATTCTATTCCACTCCTTCACCCACCTTCCCCATTCCTCCTTCAACTCCTTCCTCTTCTCATGATCCTGCTCCCTCAATAACACCGAAATTTCATCATCTTCTATGTCATATTGTTTGCTGTATTCTTTCAGATTCCTTGCGATTTCTTCCTCTTTCTCAGGACTCAAGAATTGCCACCTTGGTCTCCACAAAAACTGCAATTTTTTAACGTTAAAAAAACTCAGACCTTATATAATGTAAAACTTGCAAAGTTACCTGAAAGAAATGATCCTTTAGAATGCGATAAAGTAGCTTCCCATAAAAGGACCATATGGTGAACCCATTTTCCATCTCATGATGCACTGAAGTAACCGATGTCGCAACATACCTATTAACATATATATGATCATCAAAAGACGTACGTGTATATTGGTTAACATTGAAAAACAATGAACATTTTTTTTGTTTAATTTTTGGAAACATAAACAAGTATATACCTCCCACTAGGATCCCATTGAATGTCTGTTGCCATAAATTGCTCAGCAGTAGCCGTAGTTTTAAGCTCATCCACATCATAAAACTCCAATTGTCCATTAAACCCCTTCCTCAATCCACCCAAAACAATAAAACGCCCACCAGGCGACCAAAATAGAGCATCTGCCTGTTTTTGGTTAAGGGTTTTGAGCTTTGACCCTTTACCCCCTTTCACAGTGTAAAAACTAACATCAAACCCCGTTGAATAAAATTGACCACTACCATGTATAACAGCAAATCTCTGACCCTTGGGTTCCCATGCAAATGAAATAACTTTGTCAGTATTGTTGTCAAGCTCAAAAGCATCAATGGGTATGTCTCCTTCTTTGATTCTGAAAAGCTCAAATCCAGTGTATGTGCTTTTTTTGGTTTTTGTGTAACGCTCAACCTTAACAGCAAGATATTCCCCGTTGTTTTGCCAATACATTTTGCAATCACTAACAATGTAAAGAATTATCTGTCTCATCACTTGTTTGCTTGGGATTTGGAAAAGACTCACCTACAAATAATATATTATCATGTCAAGATGAACTAGAATCAGGATGAATTGAAAGTAAAGATCTGAAGTCATTATTACTCTTGCAGATTGATTGCCTACCCTTTGTTGCAGGTTACCAGGTGCAGATCATTGGAGTCTCGTGTACATGGGCTAGATTCAATCCACCATTCCTTCTTCATCGTTAATTTCAATCCCACCGATGCAGAGGGGCGTGATGGCCATAGGAGTTCCTGCACACTGGTGGAAGCGACGGTGGTGGAAAGATCTGTGGAGGCGGTGGTGGTAATGGCGATTATAATGGAAGTGATTGTACATATGTGTATTATCAGAATATGATCGAAGCAAACCCTGGCAATTCATTGATTCTCAGCAATTACACGAAATACCTGACAGAGGTAATTTACAATATTCATCATTCACGGGTTTCAATTTCTTCTTTTACCAGATCAAGTTTCATTTGGCTTCCGATCTATTGGCCAATTTTGATCTGATTGATTCATTCAAACAGGTGCGAGGTGATTTCTCGAGGGCTGAGGAGTATTGCAGTCGAGCAATCCTGGCAAACCCTAGCGATGGAAATGCTTTATCAATGTATGCTGATTTGATTTGGGAGACACAAAAGGATGCATCTCGTGCACAAAGTTACTTCGATCAAGCAGTCAAAGCATCCATGAGATCGTTGCTAAAGTAAGCATTTTTCATCAATTTCTTTCATATGAAGTGCTACATAATATAAGTTATAACAATTGAAACTTTTTAAAAAACTTTTTTGGGTATCTGTAATGGACAGATTGATCCAGGTGAAAGATTGGATCCTGAAGTGGATGACATTCTTGTTGGTATTGCTGATGATTTTGTTGAATATGTGAGTTTCATCTTCCTAAAATTCAACATTGTATCAGTATTAATTAGAAGTGGAGAGATATAAACTGGAGAAATTAGGTTAAAAGTCAATACCATGATTATAGGGATAGGCTACTTATTTAATCATGAACATGCAATTGGTAATTTCCTGAAAACCATAATGAAATTTTGCATCTCTTCCATTTTTTTAAGGTCATCTATTTTTACTGGTATCAAGTAAGACTACTTGGAATTTTTACTGGTATCAACTGGTAAAGGAGAGAAGCAAAAGCAGGGACTGCAAGTTTTCGTATATTAGATAAGGAGGATAAATGTGTTCTCACATAATGGTATTCTTGTAGAACGTAATTCCCGTCTGGTATTAGTCTCACAAAATGTCATTCTCCTAAGAATGGTTGGAATCAATCGATTATGGACCATTGAAGAAGATCAATGACATTTGTTCACAAATTGTATGGAATCATGAATTTCAATTCTGTTGGAATGGAATCATGAATTCTAATTCTGTTGGAATGGAGTATGGATTTTTTCTCACTGATTTATGCATGTTCTACAATTCTTGGTTATTGGTTTTGGTGCAATTCACAAATCCACATATTTTTCCAAAGGAATTTAGTTTTTTATTTTTCGTTTGCTAATGCATTATTGGAATCTAAATTACAATTTGGTTTTGTTTTCACAGAAGTTGATGCTTGAAGAACGGACCATAAAATTGAAAGTGATTCTCAGCAACATTATTCTAGTTTTATTCTTTAACAATAAATGTAATTCTTAACAATTGTTACCCGTATTCTATAAGAAATTATGTATTTATTGTTTTTATTCTTCAATTGATTGTTCAAGAATTTGTTATTTTACAAGAAGTTTTTAAAGTCATGATCAAGAAATAAGTTCAAGAATATTTTTATTATTTATGTTTCAAGAATATTTTTATTTTTGAATATACTCATATACATATTCTGTCAGAATGTCCGAATTAAAAGAATTATAATTCGTAAAATCGGATTTTGAAAATTAATAGAATCTGTGATCCCTTAAACTATGCAATTTTCCTTTATTAAATCTATATTAATTGACTAAAATACCCTTGTAATTAAATTAGATGATATTTTTCAATTATATTTAATTCAATAATATATATTAATCACTTTCTTAAAATAAGTAAACTTGATTAACCCATATTTATGCATACAATAACACAATAATTACTTTGAATAGAATAACCTAAGCCTATATATATATATATATATATATATATATATATATATATATAGGCTTAGGTTATTTTGTTTAGAGTATCTATTGTGTTATTGTATGCATAAATGTGAGCCAATCAAATTTACATATTTTAAGAAAGTGATTAATATATATTATTGAATTAAATATAATTAAAAAATATCATCTTAATTAATTATAAATTAATATAGACTTAATAAAGGAAAATTGCATTTTTTAAGGGATCATAGATTCTATTAATTTTAAAAATCCGATTTTAAGAATTATAATTATTTTAATTCGAACATTCTGATAGAATATGTTTATGAGTATATTCAAAATTAAAAATATTCTTGAACCATAAATAATAAAAATATTCTTGAACCTATTTCTTGATCATGAATTTAAAAACTTCTTGTAGAATAACAAATTCTTGAACAATCACTAGAAGAATAAAAACAAAAAAATACATTATTTCTTATAGAATACGGGTAAAAATTGTTAATAATTACATTTAATGTTAAAGAATAAAACTAAAAAACAATCAAAACCGGAAAGAATACATCAAAATCTAACAACGACTAATACATTCTAAAAGAATAATGTGGTCCGTTTCAATTTTGTGGTCCGTTCTTCAAGCATCAACTTCTGTGATTCCAACAGAATTGGAATTCATCATTCCATTCCAACAGAATTGGAATTCGTCATTCCATTCCAACAGAATTGGAATTCGTGATTTCATCATCATTTTCCCGGCTCTGTAAGTAATCAACATCTCCAACATATTCAGTGATTATTGTCCAGTCTTTGATACATTTATCAGCTTCTACGGTGAATCTGCAACAATAACATATATATATATATATATATATATATATATATATATATATATATATATATAATATCAACAACACCAAAGGTTTAGGCACAAAAACCCACTTACCCTTCTACAGGATCAAAAACAACCATAAGTGGAGGGCATTCCCCTCTCCTCATCATGCTCTTGCACAGATTCAAGGCCTCATGTTGCAATCCAAAATACAGGTGGTGAAAAGAATTATAAATCTTGCCAAAGATCAGATATGGGGATCAAGGAACTCTGTTAACTATAAACTGAAAGAGTTTTGTAATACTTACATTTGCAGGATTCATTGAAGGACCTATGTAGCTTGAACCAACAAGAATCACCACCATAGTTGCCATGGAAAGCATCCAATTCTTCAAGAACAAGCTGTTAGGACCCTTGATGATGATCAAGAGAACAACAAAAGTGATAACGAAAGTCAAAACTCCCTCAGCAATGGCTCCAGTATGCAAATCTACTTTTAGAGTAGGTCCTTCTAGCAGATGTTTGTACTCTAATGGCATCAACTCCAAAAGAGACATCACACCACCAGCTGCACCAATCGCCTGTCAACAATTCAGAAACCAAACACTATTTTTACATGTTTAACACCAATAATCAACAAATACTGATCCAATTCTGCACTATTCATAGTTGAATGTAACGATCTGTTTTCGCAATTTCAACTGTAACCTAACAATTTGGGGAATTGGAAACCCTTAATTCGTCAAAAATCACGACTATGAAAAGTAATTTTTGGTTAAATTACCTGAGCAGGAAAGCGGACGGCGGTGGACATGAGTGTATCATCGTCGCCACCGGCACCGACGATACTAAACGCAATTGTACCGATCGCATTGAAGCTAGCGCCACCGAAGGCATCGGCAATCAATCCAAACACGATGGAAGCCAGCCCTCCGGCACCCATCGAAAGAAGAACAGAAGAGAAGACATAGAGAAGACTGAAGGTTTGCTGCCGCCTGCGCCCTGCTGTGCTGTGTTGCGTCTGCTGACTGCTGGTGTCAACGCCGCCTCTTCGAAGTCATCCAACACCGGTAATTGAATGAGGCGGGTGCATCGATTCAGTTGCTAAGGTTTCTGTCCTTGCCGCTTGTTCTAGCACTTCAAGTAAGAGCATTACAAAGAGTGTCCATGGGGTCGTTGTCAAAAAGGGTTGATTAGGGTTACGGTTTTAAAAGACGATGGGTGGAGAAAACTAAGTCAATTGTTACCTTAATTATAGGATATTATCTGTGGAAAGTAATTATCAAATTACCTATTTACCCTTATTTATTTATTTAATTATTTATTTTTATTTTAAATTTTGATTGACCCACATTTATGCATACAATAACACAATACTTACTTTAAACACTTGAACCTATATATATATATATATATATATATATATATATATATATATATATATATATATATGTTTCTACTCTTTTGTTGATTGATGTTGGAGAAAGGGAGGAGATTAAATGGAGAAATCCTTGATTTCAATGTAAATGATGATGTTAGATAATGAAATGGCCAATGCCCTATATATAATGGTCCTAAATCATAAAGATTGTCTCTTGGTGATGAAAATGGGCGTATATATCTAGTACAAATATAGAAATTGAGTAATCTAAGAAGCCACAATCATTATTTCATTTTACTTTTTAAGTTAAACAATGTTTATTTAACTCAATAAGTACTTTATGATAAAAGTGTTTACTAACTTATATGGTGGTAAAAATGAGTTTTTTAAAAAATATTTGTATTAGTTTATGCGGTGGCAAAAGCTATAAGTTGATAAGTCGTTTTAAAAACATGTTACTTACATTTGTAAAATAACAAAAAATAGCGGAAATTAAGAGAATGGCACGAAAAGAAAGTTTATTAAGGGTATTATAGTCATTTTATCTCAAAAAGTTAAAAGTGTTTAAAAAGTTAGGGAAACACATCCAGGATTTCTTCAGAAACATCCAATAGTTGTTCAACTTCATCATATTCCTCTTCTTCTACATTAGTAGCTTCAGCATCATCCCTAATTAGCATTTGCCTCTCCATCTTCTCTTGTTCATGCATTCTATTCCACTCCTTCACCCACCTTCCCCATTCCTCCTTCAACTCCTTCCTCTTCTCATGATCCTGCTCCCTCAATAACACCGAAATTTCATCATCTTCTATGTCATATTGTTTGCTGTATTCTTTCAGATTCCTTGCGATTTCTTCCTCTTTCTCAGGACTCAAGAATTGCCACCTTGGTCTCCACAAAAACTGCAATTTTTTAACGTTAAAAAAACTCAGACCTTATATAATGTAAAACTTGCAAAGTTACCTGAAAGAAATGATCCTTTAGAATGCGATAAAGTAGCTTCCCATAAAAGGACCATATGGTGAACCCATTTTCCATCTCATGATGCACTGAAGTAACCGATGTCGCAACATACCTATCACCATATATATAATCATCAAAAGACGTGTATATTGGTTAACATTGAAAAACAATGAATATTTTTTGGTGTTTTTTTGGAAATATAATGAAATATATACCTCCCACTAGGATCCCATTGAATGTCTGTTGCCATAAAATGCTCAGCAGTAGCCATGGTTTGAAGGTCATCCACAACATAAAACTCCAACTGTCCACGAAACCCCTTCCCCAATCCACCCAAAACAATAAAACGCCCACCAGGCGACCAAAATAGAGCATCTGCCTGTTTTTGGTTAAGGGTTTTGAGCTTTGACACTTTACCCCCTTTCACAGTGTAAAAACTAATATCAAACCCCCTTTGATAAAATTGACCACTACCATGTATAACAGCGAATCTCTGACCCTTGGGTTCCCATGCAAATGAAATAACTTTGTCATTCTTGTTGTCAAGCTCAAAAGCATCAATGGGTATGTCTCCTTCTTTGATTCTGAAAAGCTCAAATCCAGTGTATGTGCTTTTTTTGGTTTTTGTGTAGCGCTCAACCTTAACAGCAAGATATTCCCCGTTGCTTTGCCAATACATTTTGCAATCACTAACATTGTAAAGAATTTTCTGTCTCATCACTTGACAGCTTGGGATTTGGAAAAGACTCACCTACAAATAATATATTATCATGTCAAGATGAACTATACTCACCATGAATTGAAAGTAAAGATCTGAAGTCATTATTACTCTTGCAGGTTGATTGCCTCCACTAACTTCAGGAACATAAGCTGCAAGAATAGGATCAGTTGGGGACCAACTAAAGTCTTTAATGTTTGCAACTTTAATGGGGTTTTTGTTAATAAGACGAAAGGTCTTTGTTTCATAAACATAAAGGACATTTTTTCCCATTCGAGCAAAGTACTTGTCCTCTATGCCGCCACCCCATCTGCAAAAATTACAACCATGTCCACATCAACAACACATAAGTCCAAGACAAATAATGCATAATGGAATGAAAAGATTAATAAAATGAAAGGAATCACGTTCCTTTTAAGATGGAATGGAATGAACTATTCCAGATTCCATCATACCAAACACTACCCTTAATAGATTACCTGAAAACCGGCCAGAAAACCCCTCCATCTGCAAAATCATTGCCACTTCCCTCAAAATCTCTCATTACTTTTTCAGTTCTCACATCGAATATGTTTACCCTCTGATTATGAGCAAATCAAAGTCAACCAAATAATATTGTTAACTGTTATAATATATTGTAATAATAGAAAAAAACTAGACAAAATATTATGCTTCTTACATGCATATCATCATGGCTGCTGCTATATGTGACCAAATATTTCTCACCTGGAGAGAACTCAATGAGTTTAACCTACAGGCAACAACACACTTTTAAGATCGTATGCATGATTTAAATAAAGTATAACAACCATTGAAATAAATACAAGAAATTAGCATTGATACTTCATTTTATTGTTTAATCCTACTTGTATTTTGTATTTGAACAACATTCCAATAATTAGATAGATTTCTCAAAAGTACAATGCCTAATTAGTAGGATGAAATGAAAGTAGAATGTTACAATAAAACAAATACATGAAAGTATGTTGTTATTTCTTGCATTTAACCATAAAAAGAAAAGTATAACCATAAGCAACCTGTTGATGAGCATAGCGCCTTAGGCGGTTAAAAGTGGTGGCACCGCCCCACACGGCGGCACCCTGCTGGTGGACCGTGGCTAAGTAGGTTCCCAATGGAGACCACTGAACAAAACTTTCAGTCCAAAACTGCAGAAATTGGATAAACGCCTATTTAAGTAACATTAATTGAATCCTTCAATCCTCACCTATATCCTCACCTATGAATGGTGAAAATACATCAAACATGGAATTTTAAAGGATTTTGACAGAATCCAACTTACAGGGCGTTTGTCAACAGAATCAGCTTTCAGTTGTCTTGCATCATTCCACAGGATTTCTGTTTCTGATCCAAAACGAATAACAAACTGATCTCTACCTTTTTCATTAATAAGCCACTGTTGCAGATTCTCCTGCATTAATTAATACATCACATAACAACATACAGAATTATAAATGCAAACATTACAGAATTATAAATGCAAACATTACAGAGAGGCTGTGTGAAAATATATGAAGTAATGTAATTCTTCAAGTAGCTACCTCTGGTGTGTAGGGGTTGATTTCAGGAGGGGTCCACTCGTCTGGGACTCCCAGCGACTCCTCCTCCTTGAAGTCGTCGTCATCATCATCACTGAAGTAATAAATACAGAAAAGATAACATAGAAACTCAAATTTAGAACACAGGAGACACCCCATGTAACACGTATAAGTACCTTTTGATGCCAAAATCTTCATTGGGAGGGAGCTTAACAGAGTTCCAATCAACGGAGGACAAATCTATGTTCAGATGAGCGGCTTCTGCTCTTATGTGTTCCATTATCTCGTCAGCCATGATAGCCATTATATGCTTCGTTTTTGTCAATTGATCGTTATCGTGAGCCGAAATTACTGTTTCTGATAACTTCCGATTGCAAATATAATACAAGAATAATAGTTATTGGTTCCCTGGCAATTTTTTTCCTTTCGATTGAGTTTCCTAATATATTGATCGAGTTTCCTAATATATTGATCACTTTAGCGGAAAGTAAGCTTTCCCATAACTTGCATTGCAAGTTTGCAACTATAATAGTTATCGAGTTTTCTAAGATTTTCTAACATATGCCCTTAATTAAATATAAAATATATTAATTATAAAGAATATTATCATAATTAAATGGGCGTTGATTTTTCCACTTAATTGTTTTGATGCTGCCACTGAATCATTGATGGAAAGACAATTACACCCTTAACCTATTTAATTGTAAAATACCTTAAATAAAGCCCAACATTAATTTGGAAACAAAAACTGAAAAACAAAACACAAGACCACACTCTCAACCACAAACGACGCCGGAAAGTAGAAACCAAGTACTCCAATGGTCTTTGACATATATGTTGTCTGTTATTATTATTAATTTTTTTTTTTTGCTTCAGACATGTATCCAAAGTCCATTATCTCAATTCTCAGGTTAAGACCACCAGCATATTTGATATTTGAAGCTATAATTACAAATTCCATCGGCCTTGAGTGCGGATGATACCTTTTAACGCATCTCTAACTCTTTGACTTCTCCGATGAGGCTTTAAACCGGTTAACATTCTTGGGATTTAATCCGAAAAGGATTACAATGTTCTCAGCATTTGTAATTACATTTTTTTAGTTTTATGTGTTTCTTGTTGTTTCCTGATGAAAGAACCGTCATTGACCATATCTGCATATGACCAGTATTGTTGGTTTTTGTTGTTCACAAAAAAAAAAGTTGCTACGAAGTTTGCTTGGGGTAAGAAGTTGCCAGTTTTATTCGAACTTGATTTTTTTTGAAATGGAAGCAAAAGATTATATTAAAAATAAGCTAGCATGGTGGGTGCTAGGTATACAAGAAGCAAAACTACAATCAGATTACAGCACCCATTATGAACTCGTTTTACTTTCCATTAGAGGATCACATCACCATTCCCTCCAAGGTAATATGCAGCCCCTTCTTTTCCTTGTGCTGATCCAGAGATGGGACAAACTTCGGATTTATTTGGATTTCTGCAGCTAGCCCAATGTGAGACTTCACCTCACCATAAGTATACAAGGATCACAGCCCCTTGTGTATCAGCTAGACAGCCACCACATTATTGAGCTTGAATTTAAAAAAAGGGATATAGTTTTCAATTCTTTAAATTTTTTAAAAGAGAAAGAAAGTATAGATTTCTCATCGTAAGTTTTTTCCATAAAAAAAGGGATATATGGTTTAGATCTTTCTCTCTTCAAAATCATAAAAGGGAGTATAAACGGGTTGAGGGACATAATTGTCCACATATTAACTATTCCGTGGAAATGTCAATAAATTCCTTGGAAAAATCATCGCCCTAATTAAATATGAAACTTATTAATAATCTTCATAATAAATGTATTTTACATTTAATTACGGTAATACTTTTCATAATTAATGATTTTTAAATGTAACCTTAGTGTACATATTAGAAAATCTCTTCCTAATATCTATTCTTTTCATCGAGTTTCCTTAACCGATCGAGTTCCATTTTCTTGCACTAAATTTTACTGAGCAAACGAAAGAAATGGTCCTTATGGTTGTATTGTTATTGTAATGGTCCCTATGGTTGTATTGTTATTGTATTGGCAGTCCGACTTTTCTTTTCTTAACCATATGGTTTCTATGTGTCATTTGTTAGCGAGAAGATCTCCAGCCCATGTGAAATAACTAGTATATTCTTTCTTATTTTTTTTTCTTTTCTTTAATTGATCAATAAATAGATAAAAACGTTCCACCCTCTATGTGTTTGTAAATGCACACAACAAAGCGAAGCATCAATCACAATAGTTGCGAACAGTTTTGCAATAGTGCATACAAACACAAACAAAACCACATTTGTTCTTGAATGGATACTCATGATTGTCCTCCTTATCTTAATATTCTCCTATCTCATCATCAAACTCACCAAAATTTTCAGCCTAAAAGCACCTTGCATCTTGTATGTTCGCCTCGAATGTTTCTTCAAACCCCAAAACAAGACAATTGAGCATGTGCGGCTCACTGACAATAAGACAATTGGTACACCTCTTGAAACTAATGCTCGGTACACTCCAACATCAGATCCAAGCCTATATCATACTATTGTAGGAAGTTTGGTTTACCTTACAAGTTACTTGTCTGGACATAGCCCATAAAGTTCATGTGGTTAGCCAGTTTATCATTGCTCCGTCTATTGTTCATTGGAGAGTCATTCTTCATATTTTAAGATATCTTTTTGGCACTTGGTTCTGGAGTCTTGTGTTTCGTTCGACTTCATCTCTTGAGTCACGTGCCTATAGTGCATATGTAACATCTCAAAAATTTCAGACAAAAATTTCGTTTTTAATTCATTTCAAAACATCCAATAATCATGTCAAAACAACCGAAAGTGTATCACAGTGAAATAACATCAGAGTACAAAATCCTAAAATCACATAATGTGGAAAACATGGGCGGATGCGGTGCGATCAAGTCGGGCCCTTCCCTTTCGAGCTGGAAGTACCTGAAACATACACTAAAAACCGTAAGCACAAAGCTTAGTGAACTCCCCAAAAATACCCCATACCATACATACATAATGATCAAAACATAAATGGGTCAATTTCACCCTCTTTGGTCTCTTTCAACCGGTAATGGGTCTATTTAACCCTTTTGGTCTCTTTCAACTGGTACTGGGTCTATTTCACCCCCTTCGGTCTCTTTCAACCGATACTGTGTATATTTCATCCCTTCGGTTTCTTTCAACTGGTATCGGGTCTATTTCACCCCCTACAGCTAGCATACAATCATGACAGCAAGAGTCACCGGGACAACAAGCATAAACAGGCATAACAGGAAATTGTCACGAAGACACTTTTATCCTAAAAACCTAAATCAGTGGGCCGAAATTGGTGCCTTTGACCCACGAGTACGGTGAAGGAACTCACCTCAGTATGAAGATCAACAAATCTGTAACATCCCAAATTTCAAGACTAAAAATTTCATTTTTAATTAATTAGCTTATAAAATTGTTACTGAAAACCATCATCGAATCGTGTCATTTCATAAAATCATAGTCACATGTCTCAAACCATAACATAAAATAGTAATAATGTCAGAGTACAATCCCATGAATCTCATAATGCAGAAATCTTGTGTGTGTAATGCGCTGCTACCGTGCCGGCTCATTCCCCTTCGATGAAGAGGTACCTGAAAACAAAACTGAAGCTGTAAGCACAAAGCTTAGTGAGTTCCCCCATCATACCGCATACCATACAATAACATATCTAGCCAGGCATATCTGGGTGCCGGCCTCCCCTTCGGTCTATTTTAACCGGATAGTGTCTAGCATATCTGGGTGTTGGCCTCCCCTTCGGTCTATTTCAACCGGATAGTTGTCTAGCATATCTGGGTGCTGGCCTCCCCTTCGGTCTATTTCAACTGGATAAATGCCTAGCATATCTGGGTGTTGGCCTCCCCTTCGATCTATTTCAACCGGATATCGGGGACTATTTCACCCCTACCACTACGACATAGAATCATAGCATACTGGCACATAGAACATAACAGATAGTGGCATACCAGACAATTATCACACAGACAATCATCTAACTACAAGCTCCTACTACTGGGCCGGAATTGTGGCCTTAGACGCACTTCTACTGGAAGATAACTCACCTCAATGACGTGAAGTGTCCGAACTGTCTTCGATGTTGGGATCAACTCCTCTCAAACTCCTACACATAAAAACCTTCCTTAATGACCATTTCATACTCTTAACCCTTTCAAGGGTCAACTCAAGTCAAGTCAAAGTCAAGGTCAACACCCTGGTCAAAGTCAACTTTTGGTCAAAGTCAACATCTGGTTGACTCATCTCGACGAGTTCCATAATTCACTATCATCCTAGAACTTCGCTCCTACTCGTCGAGCCTTTCAAGAACTCGTCGAGTTCCCTTCATACAGAATCGAGACCTTTTGCCTATGACTCACCGAGTTCATCCTTGAACTCGTCGAGTCCTTCTTCATGCAAGTTGGAATGTTAGTCCTTGACTCGCGGAGTCTTTCCTTGACTCGTCGAGTTCTTATTCATATACCTTGGGACATTGCCTTGAACCCGCCGAGTTCATCCTTGAACTCGTCGAGTTCTTCGTTCTTCAAGTCCATCTTGTTGAGTCCTCTTTTATACTCAACCAGATCGATCAGAAACAGAAAAGGTTGGGGAACCATAACCCGACTCGCCGAGTCCTATGAGCGACTCGCCGAGTCCCCCAAAGTCCAAGTCTACCAAGTCCATTTCACTCGGGCTTATTGCATCCAGAACATAAATCTGACCTCTTAGGGTCCATATTACACGTAAAGTTACAAACTTTACGTGCATGCAAGGTATCATGAGCCAAAAACACCATTTCCAAGTCTAAAATGAAGTCTAGGCTAAAGGGAAGGGCTAAAGCATGACAAATTTGTGAACTTTATGGCGAAAGGGGCTGGAAGGGATCTGGATCTGAAGTTACAACTTCAGATCACACTTCATACTCAAAAAGGTTCACAAATTTGCTTAAAGATGGCCCTAAACTCAAATATGGAAAGATCTAGCAATAGGAAAGTCAAGGAAGCAACTTTATACCTTTAAGGGGCTGGAAATGTAGCTTGAACCTTGGATCTACTGCTTCCTTGAACCTTCTAGCTCCTTCTTCTTCTTCCTCTAGCTTTGAAATCACACAAACACTCTCACAAATGGCTCACACACTCAACAAAGCTCAAGGGACACAAGTTAGGGCGTTCTGGACTAAAGGAGATGATGGGGGCTGCATGGGAGGCGAGTTAGTGCGTTTAAATAGGTTGCAAACCCTAAAATTTAGGGTTTCACCCAGACAGGTCAACTCGTCGAGTCGGGGCTTCCGACTCGGCGAGTAGGCTTCTCCATCCGCGTCCAAAATCCGTCCCTACTCGATGAGTTGAGCCTCCAACTCGTCGAGTCCCAGTATAAAATGCAAATATTCTTTATTTAAGATACGTACCAGAAACCAGGCGTTACAAAATCATACTCGGGCTGCTGAATCGAAGATCCTTACACTAAATCACAAATAATATAACCTTAATTAGCCATTAGGTCATTAACCCAAACCGAGAGTCCAAATTCTAAATCTCGACTCCTAGGGTAAAAAGACCACTTTACCCTTCCCTTAATGGGCCTAATATATCATGGTCAAATTCCAAACTAGCCCAAAGTCCAAAAAACACTCAAAGCCTAATATCGGCCCAAATCCATAAAGGCCCAACTAAGAAAGACTTGTGGCCCGGGCCCAAAACCCTAAAGTTCAAAGTGGCCCGAAATCAAAAGCCCAAAAAGCTCCCTGGTGAGTACACTAAGCGTACCACCAGTACACCCAACGTACTCGAGGGCTACACTTGAATCGGGATCCCAGACGCGTACGCCCAACGTACACCTTTGTACGCCTAGGGTAAAAAGGCCACTTAACCCAAACCGAGAGTCCAAATTCTAAAACTCGACTCCTAGGGTAAAAAAGCCACTTTACCCTTCCCTTAATGGGCCTAACATATCATGGTCAATTTCCAAACTAGCCCAAATTCCAAAAGACACTCAAAGCCGAATATCGGCCCAAATCCATAAAGGCCCAACTCAGAAAGACTTGTGGCCCAACAAGGGCCCAAAACCCTAAAGTCCAAAGTGGCCCAAAATCAAAAGCCTAAAAAGCTCCCCGGTGAGTACACTAAGCGTACCACCAGTACGCCCGACGTACTCGAGGGCTACACTTGAATCGGGATCCCAGGCGAGTACGCCTAACGTACGCCCCAGTTGGCCAAAACCTCATTTTAAGGTCTTAATATGTTAAGAACTAACATCCAACATCAAATCTAGCCCTCTAGGGACGTCCTAAACCATTAAATTGGCAACTTTACTCCTTTTCATGTCTTAATGGGACTCAAGCCATAGATTTAGCATTCTACTTCCATTAAATGATCATTAACTTATGCATGGTTAATTTACAACCATCAAGATGCAAGCTTCATGGACCAAGGACCTCAGAAACATCAAAAGAAACATCGCATAACATCTAGAGTAGCATTTACTCACAAGGGTTCATCCATGGGACCAAAATATGCTAAAATCTTCCCCAAATCTAGATCTAGACATAGCATGATCAAGGTTCAGACTTTATACCTCCAATAAGCTGGAAAGATTGAATAATCCATGGATCTACAAGCTCCCACTTGTCCAATGTTTCTCTACAAGTCTTCTTGTTCTTCAATATGCTCCACACACACCAAAACACACATATAATGGTCAATCTCTTGAGAAATGGGTTAGGGTTTCGAGGTGTAGCTCAAAAGAGGCAATCGAGGCTGATAAGTTGAAAGGTTTGGGGACTTAATGTGTTTAAACAGGATGCAAACCCTAAAGATTAGGGTTTACCCATGACTGACGTACGCCCCGTGTACGCATGTATACGCCCAGCGTACCAGGGGCTACCCCGCCGCATGCAACCTTCCAAGTATGCCCGACGTACCTTATGTACGCCCAACGTACTAAGACTTAAGCCAAAAAAAATAAAGAGGAATTAAATAGTTAAGAATTTACCTTGACATGTCGGACGTTACAGTGTAGTGATGCTAATTGAGATAACGATTCTCATTATCACAAATCCACAATTGGTTTCTATATCTTTCTTAGAGCTTCGTTGATTCCATTGAAGAGTAAAAAACAAGATGTTTTTCTCGATCTTCTACATAAGTTGGATATCGAGCTATGGATATCACAACTTGTGAGATTGTTTGGTTACGTTGGCTTCTTACGGATATGGGTGTTGATATTTCTCTGCCTACTCCCTTGCATTGTGACAACAACAATGCAATACATATTGTAAATAATTATGTTTTTAATGAGTGAGCGAAACGTATTGAGATTGATTGTCATTTCACTCGTAATCATTTTTATCTTGGAACTATTTCTCTACCACATGTTCCGTCAACATTGCATATTGTTGATATGTTTACGAAGACTCTATCTACTACAACGTCTTTTATTTTTTTTGTCTAACAAACTCTTCATGCTTATTTTTGTCGCATTATACATTTTAGGGGGTGTTAACCTAATAAGTTTATTGAAATCTTTTAGTATTAGGCCTTTTGTTTAGCCATTTAGCTAGGTTAACACTATTTTTTTTCCTATTTATAGTTGTCTTTTTCATTCTTTATAATATACAAAATCTTTTAAATAATGAAACCCTAGCCATTTTCTTTCTAGATTGTTATTAGTTTACACAGGGGGATCGACTGCCAAGGATGCATGAACTCGAGGAGTCATTTTCGTTCCTCTTTTCCAAACTTCCAAAACCAAATTTCCATGTATAAATCATCAACCGGAAGTTTGATGTTAGGAACCTGATGAATCACACCTCAACTCTACGTCTACACTCGGTAATCTTACATTCACACTCATAAATCGCGCCTCAACTCAAGTAAGTTGTAACGCCGAATCGTACATCAAGTTGTTATATGCAATGTTTTTTTATAAGCAACAATGCAATACAAATTGTAAAGAATTATGGTACGATCATTTTTCTGTTAAAAAAATAAAAAGTTAAAATTAAAATAAAATAAAATAAAAATAAAAATAACACTTCTATAATTCTACCCTATTAAATTCTTATAGTTTCCTCATGCCTTAGGTGTGTTTTCAGTTTTAACCTAAAATTTTTGGAGTTTTGTACAATAGGATAGGATAGTTGCATTATTTTCTTATTATTTCAAATAGGTCAGGTTAATGGGTCGGATATACGATGATTCGGTGTATAAGGAGATGAGTTCAGTTAAAATTCATGCAGGTTACGAAGCGGGTTTGGATTAAGTGTTGAAATTTTTTAAAGGATTTGAATCAAGGTTGTTCACCCCAAACCCACTCCATTGCCAGGTCTACTACTTGTCTAGCATTTTCCTCTATTTTTTTTTGACTCTTTATAAATCTTTCTTTCTCTATTTGAATTGAATTGTTTTTGTTTTACTTTGTACAATTCTGTTCATTCTATATATTACTGCTAAATGGTATCCCATCTTTGACTCAGAATTTGTTCCCATCTTATATTTATGTCTTTGTTGAATTTTTAGGGGACGGATATACATATCTATATATAATCTATTTTTATAACTATTCCAAAAATGATATCCAGGTATTAGTAGCCCCAAACATGTGTGGCCATGGCCTCCCTAGCGCCCTTAAAGTTAAGGTTTGGCCTCCCCAAGCATGGGCCCTAAGACTAGAATCTGGAAATTACAGTTTTTTTTTTCCACCAAACTAAAATACTAACATCTCTAAATCAGGTTTGTTTTATTTTTTAAAACATCTTTTAGCTTTTAGGAAAATATAAAAAGCTAAAAGATGTTTGGTAAAAGCAACAGATTTTGTAAAAGCTACTTTTGGATATAAGGAAAATGAACTTTTTGGAAAAGTCAGGTAAACCTGACTTTTTGCAACTTTTCTTAGAATGACTTTTGTCCTCTCAAAAAGCTAAGCCAAACACCCCTTTAGTTCTGCAAGAACTAAATCTGCTAAAATGACAAATTATAGAAAAGTGACTATGTCCTCGTTTATTTACTTGAAAAATCATTACATTATTTGGTTGTGTTAAAAGTCATTACTTTTTGCCATTAACTATATATTGCTAAATGACAGTGTGTCCTGTCATTGAAAATCATAACTTGTAATAAAATTAACAAACCTATATATGTATACAAATCGAGAAACACAATCATTTGACAAATCTATACGTACTGGATGACTACGTGTATATACTTTCTCTATTGTATGCAAAAATCTGTTTCAGAACTGGGTAGATTCAGCGATGCCACACATGGATCGAAGGATCAGATACCTCTTGGCTTCAAGTTTCTGGAAGGGGAATGACAGCTTCAAAAGCTTCAACAAGCATCGACACTCTTTTCTTACGAGCAGGAGTCAGTTTCGTGACTATGTGTTGAACAGCATAATCAATCATCCATTGCTCAGCCTTCGTTTTTTGATGACTCTTTTGACGCCTTAAATCAACTTGTTCCCTTACTTCTTGTTCTTCTTTATGAAACGCAGATTGTCTTGGTGTTTCTGGTTTCAGTTTCAGTTTCCTGGAACTCTCCAAGTCCTTGATAGATCTCCTCAACGTTCTCAACTTATTCCAGTTCTTCGGTATTATTTGCTGAGTTTGTGATTCACCTCCATCAATGTCAACGTCTTTCCTTTCTAGTGATAGTGAAGCATCTTCTTCAACTTCTGGAAGAAGGATTTCGTTGACTGATTGTCTTATAAGCATATCAGCAACCCTCGGGCTGAATTCATTGTTTATACTCTGGTCTTTAACTTCTTGCTCATCATCATCATCATCACCACCATGAAGTAGCTCGGATCCAACTTTGCTAGTGATATCAGTAACAACGTGTTGGTATATCATATGCCACATGTTGATGTATTTCTCTTTCTCTGATTTCATTGCAGAATCAAATTCCGTGACACCCTGTTCATCAGAGTCTTTATAATCACCATTTTCATCAGTCAAGCTCGAGTCTTTTGAATCATCGAGTTTTGGAGCCACTGATTCGAATCCTTTGACAAGCAAAGCAACCTTTCTTTTTTGAGATGGAGATAGTTCGCTAACAGCCTGCTGAAGAGCATAATCAAGCATCCAATCATCGGAAATTTTCTTATCACCGACTGTTTGAGGCCTTAAAGACACTGTTTCGGCTGCTGATTTGGGCAATAATGGATTGGGAGTGAATCTTTTCACCTTTTCTAACTCAGTTATAAACCTTCTCAGAAGTGTGACTTTCTTTATGTGACTCCACCCATCTGGTTTTCCCTTTTGGCTACCAGTCATCAGATCATCTGCTCCTGGATTTGGCTCTTTTTGATGATCTCTTACTGAAATAACTTCACTTGTAATCGATTGATCAGGGACTTCTGGAAGAAGGACCTTCTGAATCGCTTCTCGTACAATCTTGATGACAAACATCTTTCTGTTTTCATACTCTTGATTCATAGCATCAGCTGCATTACATGATCGTTTTTCTTTGTCTACTTGTTGCTCCAATTCACACCCAGATTCAGCTACAAGATCAGAATCAGACACCATATGCCGTTGAATCAAACGCCACATGTTCATCTGATTGCCATTAATAGAACCCTGTTTCTTGTCTATGTTGACAATCGAGCTATCTTGATCATCTATCCGAAGGTTTTGAACTTCCTTCTGATTATTGCCATTGACACCGAACATCATATTAGCCAGATCTGCATCATCAAGACCGGAGCTTGATTCTGGAACGTGCTCTGTTCTTGTTTTTGCGTAGAACTCAATAGAAAAATCAGCATCCTTTCCAACAACCTTTTCGATCTTCTTGCCTTCGCTGCCTACATTAGAACCCTTTTTGGATACCTTAACTTCTGTTTTCTTACCAGACGGCTTATCTACAGTGGCGGGAGTTTTAGGGTTTACGCCCTTTTGGTCCTTTGAAGAACGACGTTTTAGGAAAGAGAAGCGTTTGACTGGTGGCTCATGGTGATGATGATGGCCATGAAGAGAACAGTGTTGGTACGGACAAAACTTCGCCACCGGAAGAATTTCGTCAGATTCTTTGACGCCTACCTGAGGCTCGACTTGCTCGGCAAACTTTGAATCCTTTAGAATCGAAGAAAATGTAGCTCTGTTCGAACGCAAATCTTCTACTGTCGGACCCTTCGATTCAGAAGATGATTTGCTCTTGCTCCTTACGATTTTGAGGGATCTCAGACTACCGGACCTAGTGATTTTCAGCACAGGTTTTGGTTTCCGCAGAAGCGATTCCTCTGATACTTTAACCGGAGAAAGGTGGCGTGTGGTGGCTGAAGAATCATCTGGTAAACTCAACGACGGCGACTGTGGGCTCTTCTTTGAAAGCCTGAAGCTCCAACGTTTCTTCGAACTAGACTTATCCAGTGTTTTCTTCTTTCGTTGAGTTTGTCCTTCCATGCCACTGCTATATCGATCAATCGAAGATGTTGCACTGGACGTTCGAACCATGCATGGATGAAGTGAATAAAGTGAACTCAGAATCACTATCTCCCTGCCAAATACGCCAACACCATATTGGAAACTATTGATCAGTTATTCCTGTTTGGTATTTTAAACTCATTTTGCTCCGATTCTAGATACATGAACATGATCATAAGGATTCTGAATTGATGAAAACAAACCTGATTACTCCCTTTTCTGGAACTGAAATTTGTGTTTGAATCAGGTGAAGGCCACTCCAATTGGGACTTATTTCTTGCCCCTGTTCTTCTCACACCCTTGGTCAAAGATGATACAGTAGCCATTCCACAACTATTCGCTTCCAATCTTCACAACCCAGATGAATTTGAGACGAACCCACCTTAAAATCATGAAGAACAACATGAATAAAAAAAAACAAGTGTACTGGGAAAGAGGGTTGGATTGCTACTGTATTAAGACCAGCAAAGATTTCAAGTGGGTTTGGTCTAAAACTGAAATCAGATGACGATTTGAAGTGTAGTATGAACTATGAAGCCGATTTAATGATAGGGAAGTTGTAGTCATAAACGTTGTGCCCAAATAGACGGTGGAATTTATTTTGGGATTCTAGATTGAATTAATGTCAGCGAATGTTGTTGCATGTGGACTTTGTATGAAGAGGGTTCATTTTGACTTGGTCTTTTGTGACTGTTCTAGACTTTTATTTCTTCGGATGTTAAAGATTCCTTTTGTAAAGGGATGTTTATTTTATGTAAGCATTTTCTTCATTTTGTTTATTTATGTAATATATAACTTTAATGTAATAAGTTTACTAATTTTTATTATTTTCGTGAGTTTGATATACTTATGGTTAATATAATAATAACAATAATAATTCGTAATGTATCACAAGAAAATGATTAAAATACATATTAAGTCAATTAAAATTTTTGTAATATATTCATATTTTACAAGCAACCCGAAGTAAAAGATGAGACATTAATAACTTTGTATAATAATAATAATAACTAAATATTTCTAAAGATAATATTAGATATTATAACTTTGAATTATTCATTTTTAAAATCGATTATGTTATTTGGATTTTAGCAATGTGATAGTAATTGCATTTTATTAAATATAATTTTTTTGTGAGGGTATTCTTCCATTTGTTCAGTCAGTTTGAGAAAATTTCCCAATACGTTAAACTCTTTGTGTCGGCTAAACCGACTAAACCAACTACAACTAAATTCGGCTTGATGTTTGGGCAGGATATTATCTTTTTAATTTTTGGAGTTTTTTGTATTATAGGGTCCTTGAAAAAACTATTTACCATTTTAGTGTGATTTCAAAAATATTTACCATATTAGTATTAAAAGAGTGATTTTTCCACTGTGACTTTTGTTTTGTCCACCGAAAATTCATGAGTTTTCAATATTGCCCCTAATTTAAATTTTTAGATATAAAAAAAATAATTCTAGCTAAAATCTTGTAAATTTCGGTTTTTCCCCCACAAATTTAGTTCCCTTGAAACTATATATGCAAATTTATTTTTCAATCTTTTTTATTACTAACACCATTATTATTTTATGTTTATTTGTTTTATGAACTAAAAGATCCATATTTATTTAATACTTTTTTTTTTGCTTTTTTGATATTTTATACCATCAATTCTATTTTTTTAAGAGGTGTTATAAATATATTAATTAAATAAAACCATTACAAAATTAGTCATTTAGTAAAAGATTACAACTTCAAATTAATGTATATAAAATCATAAATATAATATTGTCCAACAAAAAATATTCAAACAAATGCATATCAAAAAATTTCTTCAATCGTGTATCTTCAACATACTCTCCAACAATAAGGTGGTGTTTGTTTTTGAAGATGTAAATATATTTGGTCTTTTTCCATGTCGGTGAAATAAAATATGGAACAAAGGGTTTTTTTTCCATTTCTTTAGTCATCGTAAATAAATATTTGTTTTTTAAAGTCTTCATAAAAAACCAAATGATGTTGGTGGAGGCGGCGAAAGTGGTTGTGGATGCGACACAAGTAGTGTAACGCCTCGATTCTCAGGTATTGAATTAATATAAGAATTTTCTTGTTTTCAAGGTCTACTCGACGAGTTGGTTGCCCTACTCGTCGAGTAGCAGCGGGTTGGTCCGCGTGTTTTAGTGACCTACTCGCCGAGTCCAATAAGGGACTCGACGAGTAGGAGCTGGCAGATGAAACCCTAAATTCCGGGGTATTGCACCCTATTTAAAGGATCATTGGCCTCCCCTTACAGCCTCTTGATAATCCAGAAACCCTAATTCGTGTGAGTGTGCTCCATTTGTGTATTCTTAAGCTTTGGAAGAGGATCTGTACATATGTTAGTGACCTGGTTAGGTCGGTATCCTGATTATAGGATGTTGTTATGCTATGTGATCTGTTAGATCCGTATGATTATCTGTACATATGTTAGTGACCTGGTTAGGTCGGTATCCTGATTATAGGATGTTGCTATGCTATTTGATCTGTTAGATCAGTTGACCGTTATATATGCTAGCGTATGATATGTATGTGCACATGTTTGTTTGATTGGGGGTTTGGGTTGAGGCGGTCCTGCTTTGTGCTGAAGGCCAACATACCCAGGGCGGTCCGGATAGACTACAGACCCAGGAGGGTATGATAGTCAGACCGAAGGCCCGGGCGAGCGGTACGGATAGGCTGAAGGCCCTACGAGACGGTCCAGACGTGTCGAAGGCTCGGAGAGCGGTCCAGATAGACTGAAGGCCGACGAGGCGGTCCAGTCAGGCTGAAGGCTCATCACGCAAGCTGTTCTATGTTTGTTTATATGATATGATTATGGTTATAAGGTTGGTATTTTGGGGGAACTCACTAAGCCTCGGGCTTACAGTTTCAGTTTATTGTTTCAGGCGAAGGCGTGATCGTACAGCTCCTCATGTTTTATTTATGTTTCTGGGATGAACTCTGATATTAGACTATTTTGAAAACAAATCTGTAATAACTACTGGTTTTAAATGTTTGAAAAGTTTTTTTAATTGGCTTGAATTTTATGGGTGTTACAAGTAGTTAAAAAATAAACATTTTTTTCCTTAAATATCTTTCCGCCAGTAGACGTAAGAGATCTCTAATGTCTACCGGCGGAAAGATATTTGAGAAAAAAGATGTTTATTTTTCAAAAGTTGTTTATCTTTTTAACTACTTGTGTCGCATCCACAACCACTTCCGCCGCCTCCACCAACACCATTCGGTTTTTTTATAAAGACTTTAAAAAACAAATATTTGTTTACGAAGACTAAAGAAATGAAAAAAAAAAAAAAACCTTTGTTCCATATTTTATTTCACCGACATGGAAAAGACTAAACATATTTACATCTTCGAAAACAAACACCACCTTTATTGTCTGAGAGTATGTTGAAGATACACGATTGAAGAAATTTTTTGATATGCATTTGTTTGAATATTTTATAAACAGAAACTTTGAACTTAGCAAAAACTTATACAGAAGGGTAAAATGATCATTTTCATAATTCAGCACAACAGTTCAGAGGTTCCAACCAAACAACATATTAAAAATTCAGATCTTAAAAATTCAGACCCTCTTAGAAATTCAGACATCTTAAAAATTCTGATCTTAAAAATTCAGACCCTACCAAACAGCCCCTTAGAAACATATCTTTTCTTTTTAATATCTAAAAATTTAAATTAGGGGCAATATTGACAACTCATGAATTTTCGGTGGACAAAACAAAAGTCGTAGTGGAAAAACCATTCCTTCAATACTAATATGGTAAATATTTTTGAAAACACACTATAATGGTAAATAGTTTTTTCAAGGACCCTATTATGGATAAAAACTCTTAATTTTTGTATAATAATTTGGACATTATTCATAAGATCTTTTAGCAAAATAATTTTATAATAACCGAGATATCATAAGTATAATAATGACCACAAAAAAATATTGTTCTTCAACGGACCAACGATTTCATGTTATCTCTCAACAACAAAAAAAAAAATCAAGTTCTCTCAATTCAAAATCTTAAGAGTAAATTACAGAAATAGTCCATATGGTTTAACCTAATTTATAGGTATAGTCCAAGTTTTGGAAAATGGTGCAAAAAATCCTAATGGTTTTAAAATCAAACACATTTGGTCCCTACCTCCAATTATCATCACCCATCCTATGTTAGAAAGCATAACATGCCCTACACACAAGGGCAAATCTGTCTTTCCATTTATCCTCATGTGAGCCAATGTCTTACCACCAAAGGTCTTAGTAATTATGTCTTCCTAACCTACAATTACCACCCCTTCTCTCAAGAAAACCCTTTTGTGATATGCATTGGATTCAACCTCAATCATACAACAGCTCAAAAGAAGTATATTTTAGAAAAAAAAATGTTTAAACCTAATACCTGGACAGTTAGAGAACTTGATGCAAATATGAAGTTCATTAAGTTGTACTTTTGTTATTTCCTTTGTTTGTGAAAACCATTTCATTTAAGAAAGAAATCAAATTTGTACTTTTTTTTTATTTAAAAAATCTATGGACCTTGTAGCAAAAACCTAGAATTTGACATAAATGTTCCTTGTCTTTGTTCTTAAAAAAAATTTGATCATGTTGTCTTTTAAAACCTTATGTCACTTTTAATGATCATTATTAGACTTTGTTGGAAATTGTTGACTTACAAAAAGAGGTTGTTAGTAAAAATAATAATGAGTTTGTTTCTTGCAATATTAAAGAGTTTGTTAGTCAAGAAGTTAAAAGATTGTTAGTCAAAATAATAATGAATTTGTTAGTTAAAACGTTAAATAATTTGTTACAGGGGTTGTGACTAAGAGTGTTAATGAAACTAAAATTGAAAAGAAAGGTGATGATATTCATCCACCCGTGCCGGTGTATGATGAGGGAAATAATTAAAGATGATGATGTCAAAGGGCTTCTAGTCTAGCGGTATCCGGTGTTGCATTCCTTCCTTGAGGTCGAGAGTTCAAGTCCCACTGTGGACATAGGTGGAATAATTTAGGTGTAGTTTAATATATATTTGTATTTGTCGTTCCAAAAAAAAATTGAAGATGATGATGTCCCATAAGTAGTCAATATAGGTCAAGATAATATGATGTTGTTGCTAGAGGCAGGTTACATAATAAAGGGGATAGATAGTTATAGAATGATACATATTATACATGCAGAAATGCCACGAGTGGAACTAGTATTACTTGATTATTTATATTTATTGCAAACTCTTATTTAAAAATACCATTTACCTTGCATTTTTTTGTATATAAACATGATATAAATGAAGATGTAGAGCAATCCAATATGGAAGATAACGGTGAAGGACAAGGTGATGTTGATGGGGATTATGTCGAATGTCATGATGAAGGGAATGTACTTGCTGATGAAAGAAATTAAGCTGATGAAGAAGGGAATAATTTGCATCCTTTTTCCATGAAGAAGATAAGGAAACCATCAAAAAGGAAAATAAAGTTAAAACTAAAAATTTGCTCATGGCAAAACTGGAGTTGGTTCAACTGCAGCAAATACAATTGATTTAGATTAGTGAAGATTAGTTATTATGGTAATCTTTATATGTCACACCCCAAAACCGGAACGGCGGAAACGTTATGGGGCGGAGGACGTCATGCGTAGTATCACAACAAT